GTGATAACATTGGCAAATATGTTCTCCCATGCAGTGGGCTTTCTTGTTGTTTTGTTGATGGTTTCTTTTGCTGTGCAGAAGCTTTTTATTTTGATGTAGTCCCATTTGTTTATTTTCTCTTTAGTTTCCACTGCCCTAGGAGCAGTATCAGTGAAGAAATTGCTTCGGCATATGTCTGAGATTTTGTTGCCTTTGGATTCCTCTAGTATTTTTATGGTTTCCCATTTTACATTTAAGTCCTTTATCCATTTTGAGTTTATTTTTGTGTATGGTGTAAGTTGGTGGTCTAGTTTCATTTTTTTCTGTTTCTTCGTTTTAGATTTGGATTTTTGTCCCCCATCCCCTCCCGATCAGCTTGTCTTCCAAGTTCAGGAACCAGAAACCAACCAATTCACTGCCTTTATCTTTGAGGTCTCCAAGTTTGTCATTGTTCATTGACATTTTTACTACATATGAGGCTGGGATCCCATAGGCAATAAAGCAGGTAATAGGCAAGGTCCACGTGTGAAACACAGTCCTTGTTCCTTACCTGTAGGTTTAGCTTATGAATCAAGTGAAGTTTTTGACATGGTACTTATTTTTCCACTATATTCTGGTAAGAAGGAAGACAGTTTTTACTGAATGTATGTAAATAACATAACTGTAAAAAGTCAAATAATTTAGAGGCACATTGTATAATATTCAACCATTATTCTTACTAATTTGTAGATAAGGATGAATATGTCATTTCCCCCCCTACACAATCATTTTCTTACATTTACCTGACAGTTTATTAACTTATAACTTGTGGTAATAATTTTCATTGTATTTTTAGTGTCTGAATTCTCTGGGATCAGCTGGAACAAGCATTGAATGAATGTTTCAGTTCAGTTTGTAAATTGTTAACTGTAAAACGCGTGAATTAAGTAGATGGGAAATGATTTTTTTTTAAAGGATTTTCTTATATAGCCATTAAAAATAGAACATTAACCACAATGAAACTGGTTTTTTCCTGATCTTGGTTTAAGCAGTCTATTTCAGAAAATTGCCTCAGAATGAGTCCTGGAAATCCAAGCACGGTCCTTTGGGTACATTCTGAGAGATGAGTGTCTGGCCACGGATCAAGGTCAGCCTTATTGAGAATCTGTACCCCTGAGGCTATTCGAGAACCTGGTTCTTTCCTTCTTGATTGAAACCTTTCTTATAGTTCTTCAGAAAACTTGCTTTCTGATCTGTAGCTTGTAGCTGGGGCCCTTTGGCAGTGGTAAGAGAAAAGCAGAAATCGCCTGTGGATGGGAGAACGGCATGGCTCTGATTAATGTATTATAATAACCACCTCTATCAGAGAGAAACATAGAGAAGACCTCTAGTCACATGGAACTCCATCACTGATTGCCTTGAGAATAAGAACTTGTTATGAACAGTGAGGACTTTGTCAGATCTCCAGGGTCCTCCCATTTATCCCATCAGTGATATGTTATAATTGTCACCAACTGTTGAATATATTTAAACCTAGAAGCAAAATCATTTTTTTTAAAAAAGGATTAATTTTGTTAATTTTGTTAATTGTCATACCAATCTTTGTTTCTAACCTGAAAAGTATACAACTGAAATGCATTCATAGTAACAATATTTTAGTTGTAGATAATTAACCCAGGGAGGTGGAACTTCTCTTTCACTTGCTAGCATGGTGGACTTGCTAGCATGAAATCATTGTATTGAGCTAATTAAAAATCTGGAGAATGCCAAGCCTATCTAATATTTCTAGTTTCCCTTCTTTTACAAGTTGATGGAGTAAGTTATAGTTTACCTTATGGCCATCTGGGAAACCCAAAAGCAGTTTAGATGGAAAAGACATCTTAACAATTTTATTTATTTTTTATTTTTTAAAAAAAATATATTTTATTGATTTTTTTACAGAGAGGAAGGGAGAGGGATAGAGAGTTAGAAACATCGGTGAGAGAGAAACACCAATCAGCTGCCTCCTGCACACCCCCCATTGGGGATGTTGCCTGCAACCAAGGTACATGCCCTTGACCGGAATCGAACCCGGGACCTTTCAGTCCGCAGGGTGACGCTCTATCCACTGAGCCAAACCGGTCAGGGCTCTTAACAATTTTATAAGTTTGAATATGGGGCCTGGATTTGGCAAAAAAGAGTTGTCAGAAGAAACAAGAATTATTGCATGCTATGCCTTTATAGTTACACTCTCCCCAACCCCTAACTTCTGGCAACCATGGATCCGTTCTCCATCATTATAGTTTTGTGTTTTGCAAATGTCATTAAAATGGAATCATGTAGTATGTAACTTTTTGAGGCTGGCTTCTTTCATTCAGCATAACATCTTTAAAATTTGCCCAAGTTGTTTGAAGAATCAATAGTTCTGCCCTGGCCTGTGTTGCTCAATGGTTAGAGTGTTGGCCTGTGCATTTAAGGGTCATTGGTTTGATATCCTGTGAAGGGCACATATCTGGGTTCCAGGTTTGATCCCCAGCCCTGGTTGGGGCATGTGCAGGAGGCAACTAATCGATGTGTGTCTCTCTCACATCGATGTTTCTCTCTCTCCCTCCTTCCCTCCCTTCTACTCTCTCTAAAAATCAATGGGAAAAAATATAGTCAAGTAAGGATTAATTTTAAAAAAATCAATAGTTCTTATACTTTTACCTGTTGAGTAATAATCCATTGTATGGATAGACTACAATTTATTTGTTGACCCATTGGATAACATTTGGGCTGTTTCCAGTTTTGGGTCATTGTAAATAGAGCTGCTATAACCATGCATGTATAGATTTTTTTGTGTGTGAATAGAAATTTTCAGTTTTCTAGGATAAATACATAGAAGTGGGATTACTGGGTCTTATGGTAGGTGTGCATTTAACTTTTAAAGAAACTATAAAACTGTTTTCCAGAGTGGCTTCTGTCTGTTTTTGAAAATAATTTCTTAATACCCCAATAGTTCCGAGTTTCACTGTTGGTCCTCCTGCCATGGTGCTTTGCTATTTTCTGCTCTCATGATGAGTGCTGCACTCCAAGTGTATTTGTCTCTCTATTGTAAGCACAGGTATCATTTCTAAAGGAGAGTTTGTATCTGGCTCACTTTGTATAACTGCAACTTCAAGTCCCACACCTTCCATGTAGGTGTGGGTGAATGAGTGGGTTGTTGGGCACGCAGATAGTTGCATAGCCACCTTTTTCCTGTGTGACCTTGGGCAAGTTCCATGGGTTAGTAATTTTAGCTTCTCCGTTTGCAAAAGAGATTGATAACACTCATTATATGGTTGTTGTAAAGATTTAATGGGATAAAAACTTAAACGCTCCAAACATTTGTCTGAAATGCAATAAGTAGTCAGAACATCGCAGCTATTATTGTTAGTTAAATTACTCTACTTTTGAAAGTGATAAAGGGTGAAAACATGTCACTCTTACCTTTCAGCTAGGAATGTTGTTTAACAGGCAGGCTGACAGCGATCTGCCCCAGTGTGGTCCTCGTGAAGTCCGAAAATTCTCTTGTAATGGTTATGAGTGTGAACAGGTTTTCTTTGTGTCTCTGCAACAGTAGCATGGCGGTGGGGCTGACTGAAATGCACTATTGAAATGTATCTTCTAAAGATACATCTAAGCAGCAGTCGCCAACCTTCCGGACCTCACGGACCACCAGTGGTCTGCAGACCACAGGTTGGCGACCGCTGGTTTAGAGAACAAAACAATGAGTTCAAAGGCTGTTCGTATTTCAATAGTTGAGTTTTTTAATGGCATTTATTTCACAAATTATCTTTCTTTCTTTCTTCCAGTTCTGGGATTACCGCCAGCCTCGGAAATACCTCAATATTCTCCCTTGCCAGGTGCCTGTCTGGAAGGCCAGATACACTGTGAGTGTGACACCTGTCTCGTGTTGGGAAACTTCCATCTTGGTGTTCCAGACTCTTTATGAGGCAGTTTTCTCTTTCTGTCTTGATTTAGGGGTGGGTCAAAGGTGGTCATGCTGGTATAAAAGATGTTATCCACTGAAAAATGTACCCTTGGGCCCTGGCCAGTGTGGCTCAGTTGGTTGGTACGCCATCCCATATGCCAGAAAGTGGCAGGTTCGATTCTCAGTCAGGGCACATACCAGGTTGTGGGTTCCATCCCCGGTCAGGGCGTACAGGAGGCAGTTGACCAGTGTTCCTCGCTCACATTGATGTCTCTCTCTAACATTGATGTTTCTCTCTCCCTCTCTCTCTCCAATTAAAAATAATTTTTAAAAATTTAAAAATTAACCCTTGGAATGTTGGGTAAGAATCTGTACTAGAATTACTAACCAAAGCTAGACTGGGAAGCTAGGTGGTGGGAAGGTGGTCACTAGAAGCAGGGGAAGAGGGTCAGATGGAAGCAGAGGGTGGAGAGACTTGTGGTCAGTGGATTGTGATGGAAAGAACTCTGGCTTTAGATTCAGAAGACCTGGGTTTTGGGCCTAGCAATGCCACTTAATCCCCCCCCCCCATCTTTATTGAGCTATAATTTTTAAAAAATATATATTTTATTGATTTTTTACAGAGAGGAGGGGAGAGGGATAGAGAGTTAGAAACATCGATGAGAGAGAAACATTGATCAGCTGCCTCCTGCACACTCCCTACTGAGGATTTAGGATGTGCCCACAACCAAGGTACATGCCCTTGACCGGAATCGAACCTGGGACCCTTCATTTCGCAGGCCGACGCTCTATCCACTGAGCCAAACCGGTTAGGACTGAGCTATAATTGATATATAACATTGTGCAAGTTCAAGTTGCAAAACGTGTTAATTTGATACACTTATATGTTGCAAAACGATTACCACCATAGCATTAGCTAACACCTCCATCACATAATTACCATTTCTTTTTTGTGATGAGAACATGCAAGATTTACTCTCTTAGCAACTCTTAAGTATGTAATATGGTGTTACTAACTTTAATCACTCTGTTGTACATTAGATCCCCAGAACATAATCATTTTATAACTGGATGTTTGTACCCTCTGACCAACTTTCCTCTTCTTCCCCTCTCCTCAGCCCTGTAATTGATATTTTACTTGGTGTTTCTATGAGTTCAGTCTTTTTAGATTCTACATATAAGTGATATCATACAGTATTTGTCTTTCTCTCCCTTATTTTACTTAGCATAATGCCCTCAAGGTTCATCCACATTGTGGTAAATGGCAGCATTTCCTTCTTTCTCATGGCTGAGTAATATTCCATTGTGTGTTTGTGTGTGTCTACACGTGTGTGTGTCTCACATTTTTATCATTCATCATTGATGGACAATTAGGTTGTTTCCATATTTTGGCTTGTGAATAATGCCGCAATGAGACATTTAATATTTGTGTGGCCTTTGGCAAGCCATTTGGTATTTTTGAGCAATAGCTATCTCCTTTGTAAAATAATAATAATATTTTTTACAATGCCTTCCTTTTTTATTGTGATAAAATTCACCATTTTAAAATGTGCAATTCAGCCGAAACCGGTTTGGCTCAGTGGATAGAGCGTCGGTCTGCGAAATGAAGGGTCCCAGGTTCGATTCCGGTCAAGGGCATGTACCTGGGTTGCGGGCACATCCCCAGTAGGATATGCCTTCCTTTTGAAAAATCATATATGAAAATGCTTTATAAATCATAAAGTACCATGAATATAGGGGGTAGGCTATTATCAACATTCCAACAATTTTTTCATTGCCACATTGATAGCTGCTGATCAGAGGTAGTGTATTTCTCTTAGTGTCAATTTGAAAAGGGAGGATAGGGATGGATAAAGGTACTTTTATACATTAGGCTGTCACCCTGGGGCATTGTGGAGCATAGAGGATAATTGGGTATTAAGTGGCTTTTGCATTTGAGAACACTTGTCAGCAGCAGATGTTGACAACAACAGATGTTGTTCTTTTTTTTCCAATAGTTTATTGATTTTTTTACAGAGAGAGGAAGGGAGAGGGAGAGAGGGATTGCCCTTGGCCAGGAATCGACTCGGCAACCTCCTCCTGGTGTGCAGGATGACAACCCAACTAACTAGGCCACACCAATCAAGGCAGATGTTGTTCTTTTTTCTTTTCTTTTCTTTCTTTTTTTTAAAAAAATATATTTTTATTGATTTCAGAGACTAAGGGAGAGGAAGAGATAGATAGAAACATCAATGATGAGAGAGAATCATTGATTGGCTGCCTCCTGCACGCCCCCTACTGGGGATCAAGCCTGCAACCCGGGCATGTGCCCTTGACCGGAATTGAACCTGGGACCCTTCAGTCTGCAGGCCGATGCTCTACCCACTGAGCCAAACCAGCTAGGGCAGATGTTGTTCTTATGAATAGAAATACTTCTCTGGATTAATATGTTTGTTTTAAAAAACAAACAAACAGAGAAGTCTAGAAGTGCTGTCAGGAGGGGAGGTAGAGATAAATGTGCTCTAGGTCAGTGGTCGACAAACTGCGGCTCGTGAGCCACATGGGGCTTTTTGGCCCCTTGAGTGTGGCTCTTCCAGAAAATACCAACTTCTGTGCATGGGCCATGAAGTTTCAATTGCACTGTACGTGCGTGGTATTTTGTGGAAGAGCCACACTCAAGGGGCCAAAGAACCACATGTGGCTCGTGAGCCGCAGTTTGCCGACCACTGCTCTAGGTGATGATGGTTTATTATTCCCTAAAGACCAGTGTCTAATCATCAAACAAATGGGCCCCTTAGCTGCCTAGCAGATTGGGTGTTGATAAGTAAAGTCTGTCAGACCTCAAACTAACTGGGAGGTTTTTTTTGAATAGCTGTAGTATTTGGGGTAGTGGGAAGGTTGTGGTTCACGTGGATGGCATGCCCCTGGTGCATTTCCTCGAGACAGGAATTGTGCTTGCTGCTCTGGCCTTTTCCCCAGTGTGCCTTGCATGCTCACTCTGGGAAAGCGCTCAGTAACTCGTGAAGTAGCTCAGGGAGAGTAGCTAGGATACGAAACAGTGTGTTCCTGTGTGCAACAGTCAGAGCCATATTTTAGAATATTTTCAAAGTTCTTCAAGTGTTTGGCTTAGCTTTATTTTATTTTATTAAATATATTTTTATTGATTTCAGAGAGGAAGGGAGAGGGAGAGAGAGATAGAAACATCAATGACGAGAAAGAATCATTGATCGGCTGCCTCCTGCACGCCCCCTACTGGGGGTTGAGCCCGCAACCTGGGTATGTGCCCTTGACCAGAATTGAACCTGGGACCCTTCAGTCCACAGGCCGACGCTCTATCCACTGAGCCAAACCAGCTAGGGATGGGCTTAGCTTTATTTATTTATTTTTTTCACTTGCTCTGGTTCCTTCCAGAAGCAAAGACAAGTAGATGTGATGGTCAACTTATGATATTTGGAAAAATTTTCCCCAGATGGGTTGGGATCTTCCATCATCCAATTTATTTTAGGAAAGAATTGCTACTTTGTTACTGAAGACTCAGCTGATTCTCCCTGGAATCATCACCTGCTTTTCCCTTTCTTGCCCTAGCCGTTCAGCAATGGATTAGTCACTGTGATGGTCCCCCAGCTGCGGAGGGAGAATAGTCTCCTCTTGTGGAACGTCTTTGACTTGAACACCCCTGTCCATACCTTTGTGGGGCACGATGACGTGGTGCTGGAGTTCCAGTGGAGGAAGCAGAAGGAAGGTGAGTGGGAGAGAAGACGGCCGCTTGATTTCCTTCTGAGCCCTGTTCCACAGCAGCTCAGTCAGGGTTGGCTGTGTGATCCAATGAGGAGGATGCAGGGCTGGCCTTAGGAATCGGTCAGGGTCCACCACCTTTAATCGTAGATAAGCAAAGGGGTGTGCGGGCTGTGATTCTTCTAAGTTTCCTCCTCTTCTCTTCTGTTGTGTGGAGTCTCTCTCCTGTGTGGGAAAGATCTATAAGAAATGGATAGACTTGCTGTGGGATCATTTCTAGGGCTGAAAACTCTGGGGTCACTACCTTCAGAAGCCTCTGGCAGTTGCCCCTTGCTACTCTGCCGATGAGGGAGACCCGAGGTCATCACTGCCCCTCACATATTCCCAGTCTCATCACAAACACACAGTGGTATTTTACCGCTCGTCCCCTTGAGGATAAGTTTGGTCAAATGACATGCTTTGAACATGAAACATGAAACATGAAACATGGTGTGGTCTCTTTTGGGTTGAAGTATTAACAGCCATTGTGCAATTACACACTCTCATTGCCTCTGCCACACAGCTGGCAAGACTCCAGATGGGGCCGCTCCCGTCAGAAATGAGGAGGAGGTAGAGATAGAGAGTAAGCATAAAATCCTTCCTTTAAGCTACTGAGATTTGGGGTTGTTTGTGATTGCACCTTAATTAGTCAGCCCTCACTAATGCCTGGTCAGAATTACAGTGGGAGTCAGGCAGCCCTTGGCCTCAGTTCCTCCATCAACTCACCATGCAAATTTAGTTGCAGCCTCTCTCTCTTTTTTTTAATATATATATTTTTATTAATTTAGAGAGGAAGAGAGAGGGAGAGAGAGATAGAAACATCAGTGATGAGAGAGAATCACTGTCAGCTGCCTCCTGTACACCCCCCATGGGATTGAGCCCGCAACCCTGGCATGTGTCCTTGACTGGAATAGAACCTGGGACCCTTCAGTCCGCAGGCTGACACTCTCCACTGAGCCAAACTGGCCAGGGCGCAGACTCTTTTCTTGAGATTTTCCTGCCATGCTCACTAAATATTGTACAGAACAGAAGTATATTTCTTGGTTTTTCCATATCACAGAAGGAAAGCCAGGTAGTGCAGTGGTGTGACTTGTCCAGAGCCCAGAATAGGGCTCTGGTAGACCTGGGGTTAGAGCAGGCAACTTCTTACCCCAGCTTATTTGTGACTCTTCCAGGATTGTTTTTGAAAGGATTCTCTTTTTTTTTTTTTAGAATGAATGGTTGGTTTAATATTCATGGACTTGAGATTTTTTTTTAGAATGAAATGTGAAAGGATTCTCTTAATCATCCTCTTAATTTTCCCGTCTTTATTTCTGTAATCTCTCTTGCTTCTATAAACATGAGGCTGCATGACTTTGGCTTTCAACGTATTCTCTTGCATTTTGCCATAGTGAACAGATGATGTGGTTTCCCCACTGTCTGGCCGAGAGAGGTTGGGCCTGTAATTTTGGATTGAAATAAAGTTATCTATGTCTATATGCCAGTAGGGTGAATTGTTTAAATTGGGACTGTCTAGCCAGTAGTGAAGAAGTTTTTTAAACACTTATTTTTATTTTATTATTTTTGTTAATCCTCACTGGAGGTTATTTTTCCACTGATTTTTAAGGAGAGTGGAAGAGAGAGGGAAAGACAGAGATAAATATCGATGTGAGAGAAACACATCAATTGGTTGCCTCCTGCATGAGCTCTGACCAGGGCCTGGGCCAGGGAGAAGCCTACAACCAAGGTACGTGCCCTTGACCATAATCGAACCTGGGACCCTTTGGTCCACAGGCCGACGCTCTATCCACTGAGCCAAACCAGCGAGGGCCAGTAGTGAAATTTTGAATGTAAGTTATAGGGTGTTTTTTTTTATTATTCATTTTTATTGTGAAATATATCACCCATCCATAAAATTGCATAAAACACATACAGTTTAAAAAAATAAAGTGAAAATCTATGTAACTACAACCAAGGTCAAGAAAAGAACATTGTTAGAACCCCAAAAGCTTTCTGATCACAATACTCTCTCTTCTCCCAGAGGTAAACACTATCCTAATGCTTAGGATAGTGATTTCTGGTTTTATCTTTTTAGTTTACCACCCATTTTTTTCATTTCTCAAAATAGTTTAGGTTTGCTTGTTGTTGAAACTTTCGTGAATATAATCATCCTTTATGTATTCTTGTATTTTACTTTTTATTTTTATGGCCATGTTTTAGTTTTTGTTGTTGTTGTTTTTAAGAATGGTATATTGATTTCTAGAGAGAGGAAGGGAGAGAGAGAGAAACATCAATTTGAGAGCATAACATCTATCGGCTGCCCTAACTGGGGTATTGAACCGGCAGCCTTTCAGTGCAATGGATGACACCCAACCTACTGAATCACACTGGCCAGGGCTGTCTTGTAAGATTTAAATAGGGATATATAGAAACGTTGTTTGAAGGCGGTGACAGAGAAGGAACTTTTGTCCCTCACTCACCTGATTAACTTGGATAGCTTGTGTTCTTTGTTTCCTCAGTTTCCCCATCTGTAAAATGAGGGAATTGGTGAAATTACTTCTAAGTTCTTTGCTCTCTGAAGATGCCATGAAGCAGATTCTAGATACTACATAATTTCCCTGAAATGTCCTGACCTTTCATAAAGCTCTTTCATAAAGCACCCTGAGCCTTTCAGAATAATTTTCCTTTGACCTGACCTAACGTGAAAATATAATTCATTCAACTCAAAACATTAAAGATTTATTATTCATTTCATAAAGAGATGCATGCACCGCTTTTCCAAAAAATTATTTTAAATAGTAAGATGCCATGATGCATTTAAATCAATTCATTTTACAAAAATTGTATTCATCCCCGGCTCCTCTGGAGCATATAAAAAAAGAACATTTGTGGAGGTGAAAGTTTAATGTGGCATTAAACCCCAGTATCACTCTTCACCTGCTAATTTGCTAGTTATTATTTCACCTCATTTAAGTTTCTGCTCAAATGTGACTTCCTCAGGGAGTCCTGTCTAAAAATAGCTTCCCTATCAGTCTCTCTCCTGTATTTTTTTTTTTAATAACACTGTCACTACTGACATTTTATTACATATTTATTAGTTTGTTTATTTCCACTACTGGGACGTAAGATCTATAATGTCAGAGGTTATTGTATTCGTGCTGTAGTGGCTATAACAGTTCATAAATATTTATTGAATGGATGGATGGATGAATGAATGAATGAATCTCACTCCATTGCAACCTGTAGCAAAATTGATGTTTAATTCAGAAAATTTTCCAGGACTTTTATTTGGTGATTTCTAGGGTCCAAGGACTACCAACTGGTTACGTGGTCACGGGACCAGACCTTGAGAATGTGGCGGGTGGATTCCCAGATGCAGAGGGTATGTATTCGTTGCTGTTGTGGAGGAATGTAACCAGATACACTAGAACAGTGATGGCGAACTTTTTGAGCTCGGCGTGTCAGCATTTTGAAAAACCCTAACTTAACTCTGGTGCCGTGTCACATATAGAAATTTTTTGATATTTGCAACCATAGTAAAACAAAGACTTATATCTTTGATATTTATTTTATATATTTAAATGCCATTTAACAAAGAAAAATCAACCAAAAAAAATGAGTTCGTGTGTCACCTCTGACACGTGTGTCATAGGTTCGCCATCACTGCACTAGAAACTTAAAAAAAATACAAAATTTGGTATTTGTGGAAATTAGAGGATACATGATAGATATTTGATACGTGCTTGCTGGTAGGCCAAGTGGCTGTGTATGCCACAGTGAGCTCTGAGGTCTTCAAGAGCCAACTTCAGTATTCAGCACTTAAAGGCTGAAGAACCTCTGCATGTCTTTTCTTCTCCTGTCCTGGTATAAGAGGGTGTGGGCAGCATACTGAGCAAGTGGCCCATGGGCTTCATTTCTTTTTCTTCTCAATGGGCTAGGAAATTTACCCTTGCACTCTGACGTGTTCAGAGCCCTCTGCGTCCATCAATGATACCTGTTCTATGAAGCCTTTTCCAATTTTTGCCCCATGAACGATATCTGTTTCTTATATGAACCACATTGGAAGCGGGTATGAACTTCTTTGCTCTGCCTTATCTCAGTGCTCTGTCTTCTCATTCGGTGGCTACATTTCTTGAAGTCAGGAACCATGTCTCACTTGTATTCCTCCCCCACAGCACTCTGTACAGAGTGGATAGAAAATGGTGGGTAAAATTTGCTTAGTACGAAGTCATTCTTGAGCATTTTTGTCAATTATCATCACCTTATTGTCTTTCAAATCTATTTTTCTCCAAAAAGTATCATTTGCTCTAATGCTGTGAAGGTTATTGTATTTTGGGGGTTAGCTGAATAACTCCATCAAGGCTTAGAATTAACAATAATGTTTTCTGAGGCTTGCATAAACTACGAACAGGATAAAAAAATTCCACGGTAGAATAATAGAGTCTGTTCTCCTGTGTATTTAACCAGGGAGAGTTGGCGATGGATAAAACCTGTTTTGATTTTATCAGTTTTTGTCTGACATCTCTATCCTTTGTGATTCCCATTTTTTTAAAAAATTGATTTTTAGAGAGAGAGGAAGGGAGGGGGGAGAGAGAAAGAGAGAAAAAGAGAGAGAAACATCAATGTGAGAATGAAACATCGATCAAATGCCTCCTGCAGGCCCCATATGGCTGGGAGGCGGGCAGGGGAGGTGGAGTCTGAAACTCAGGCATATGCCCTGACCAGGAATCGAATTGGCAACCTTTTGGTGCACAGGACGACACCCAACCAACTGAGCCACACCAGCCAGGGCTGTGATTCCCATTTTTAGGTGAGAACTCTAACCCAACATGCTGACCATTTCCACTGACTTCTCTGGACCCGGATCTTCTGCCCTTTGTTGCAGCTTTGTGCAAATGACATATTAGATGGTGTTGATGAGTTCATTGAGAGCATTTCTCTTCTGCCGGAACCAGAGAAGACCCTTCACACGCAGGACACAGATCACCAGCACAGCTTAAGCCATGGAGAGGAAGAAGGTAATTGGTCAAACTGTTGTTTTACGTGAGGTGCCCTCTGCGCATTTCAGAGTTGTAGAACTGCTCTCTGACTCAGTGCCAGAGATGTTTGCCCACAATTGAACCTCTCTCCCTTATAGTCTTAAAGGAAGATCCCCCAAGCAGTCTCCTGGAAGAGAAGAAATCAGATCAACCGGGACTGCCTCAGACTCTGCAGCAGGAGTTCTCCCTGATCAATGTGCAGATCCGGAATGTCAACGTGGAGGTGCTCCAAGTCTAATGAATTGTCTCATGCTCGCGATGGCAGTTGGTGGGAGAGGGGCCTATTTCAGCTAAGATTTCAGCTAGCAAATAGCTTTGCTGCTTTAACAGATAAGTCTCTCTGCTTACTTTTTTAATTTCCTGGGTTTTCTAAAGAAATTGATATTTTGCAAATGCAGGTTATTTTTCTGACCAAATTACTGTCTCATAAGATGACCTAAGGGATAAACTGATGCTCCTGTGTCTTAAAATCTTAGATGCTCCAACACCTCCTTTACTGTATGTGAAGATACTTAGATCTGGGAAGGCTTAGTGACTTGACTCAAGTTACTGGTGAAGTTAATGACAGAACTGAGTTTGGAAGCCAAGCCTCTGACTCTCCAGGGCTTTTTGTGCTTTGCTGTCCAATCTTCCCTTAAAGCCGGCCTTGTCCTTGGTGAGTCAGAGTCATAGTGAGAAGGTGACCAAACCTCTTTGTTCACTTCACACATGGAGAGGTTTACTCTTTTTTTTTTTTTTTTTTTTGGCAGCTGTTCTTTGCTTCAGGGAATTGAGTCTCTCTCTATAAAGGAGTTTCAAAACTTGATTAGTTTTTCTTTTGCCCAGATTCAGTTAATAGTAGGCATGGATATGTACACTTACATAATTATCCCATTCGGTGTTTAAAACAACTCTGCAGCAAGTGCTTTTATCCCCCCTTTTCTGATGAGGAAAGGGAGACACTAAGAGATGTCTTGTCCAAGGTCAGCTGCTGTTTGGTGGAAGAGATTTAATATCTGTCTCCAGCCATAGCTGGTTTGGCTCAGTGGATAGAACGTCGGCCTGTGGACTGAAGGGTCCTGGGTTCGATTCCGGTCAAGGGCACATGCCCGGGTTGTAGGCTCGGTCCCCAGTAGGGGGTGTGCAGGAAGCAGCCCATCAATGATTCTCTCTCATCATTGATGTTTCTGTCTCTCTCTGCCTCTCCCTTCCTCTCTGAAATCAATAAAAATATATAAAAAAAATTTTAAAAAATATCTGTCTCCAGATTTCCCACGTGTGTGGCTCTCTTCACTGTGTTCCATGTGTCTCTCTAGTTGGCAGCACAGGCAAACGGAAGAGAGAGAGGGTTCCTAGGTTAACTGGCTGTCAGCTTATACGCCTCTGTCCCAGCTGGAAACTGTGTGGATACCTGGTGATCGAGTTTAAGAAGGAAATCTTATTCTTTTCCCAGAAGTGCTTTTTAAAAATTATTGGGATATAATTCACATACCATATTTACCCTTTTAAAGTGTATAATTTAGTGCTTTTTAATATAGTCACAAAGTTGGGCAATTATAACCACTGTCTAATTCCAGAGCATTTTCATCATCCCCAAAGAAGTCCTATATCCCCAGTAACTCTCCATTTTCCTCTCTCCCTAGCCCACGGCAACTACTGATCAGTCCATTTTTATGGATTTTCCAAGGAGTACTTTTTAAATTGAGTCAAGTATTTAACTTTTTCCTGCTTTATTTTCCTTTCTCAAAATAAATATGTTTCAGCCTACCTACAACTTTTAGGATGAAGCTTTTTAAAATCAGAATACTTTGTACTTATTAAAGTGGTGCTAAAATTAATGAGTTGTCCAAATCTTCCAAATTAATTTGTTTTTGGAATTCTACCTTTATCTTTGGAGATTTCAGGAACTAATTCAGTTAGCTGGTTTAAAATATATTTTTATTGATTTCAGAGAGGAAGGGAGAAGGAAAGAGAGATAGAAACATCAGTGATGAGAGAGAATCATTGATTGGCTGCCTCCTGCACACCCCTACTGGGGATCGAGCCCACAACGTGGGCATGTGCCTTTGACGGGAATCGAACATGAAACCCTTTAGTCCATAGGCCAATACTCTATCCCAGTGGTTCCCAAACTTATTTGGCCTACCGCCCCCTTTCCAGAAAAAATATTACTCAGCGCCCCCTGGAAATTAATTTTTTTAAAATTTTAATAGCAATTAAACAGAAAGATATATGTATTAATGTTTCTGCTTTTTTCGTAAAATATAGTAAAGAAAGGTGTAAATTAGAAACATTGAAGTTTGAAATTATGAAACTATTTATTGAACTCAGAATAGAAAGGTAATACAAAAAAAGTTAAAACAAATGCACCTGTGGCCATCACCGCCCCCCTGGATCGCTGCAGCGCCCACCAGGGGGCGGTAGCGCCCACTTTGGGAATCACTGCTCTATCCACTGAGCCAAACCAGCTATGGCCAGTTAGCTGATTTAAATCCATTTGCACCTAAAGACCCCTCCTGGTTAGTCTCCAAAGCAGTTGTTGATTTGTCTCTTGCAGATGGACGCAGCGGATAGGAGTTGCACAGTGTCTGTGCACTGTAGCAACCATCGTGTCAAGATGCTGGTGAAGTTCCCGGCACAGTATCCAAACAATGCCGCCCCTTCCTTCCAGTTTATCAACCCCACGACCATCACGTCCACGATGAAAGCGAAGCTGCTAAAGGTTGGGATCTGTGTTCACATATTCTCCTTGATGTTTGTATGAGAGCTCTGCTCCTGAGCATGAGTAGTGAAGTTGAATGAAAATACCAACTGATAAGATTTGGAAGTCATCTGTCCTGACATACTGCAGTTAACATTTGCTATTCATTTTGTGTAGAAAACATTAGAGCAGTAGTTCTTGACCTTTTTGGATCATGGACACCCTTTGAAAGTCTAATGAAAACTATGGACCCTTTCCAGAAAAATCTGCACAAATATTGCATACAATTTCAGAGATATTGTCTATGAAATAATATGCAGCTCTATGATTGCATTTAATCTGCTCAGAGATCTCATTAAAACTATGTATTACTCCCAGATTAAAAACCTTGCAATACAGTTTCATTTATCTGGAAACAATAGGCAAGGTGTATTCTGAAGATATAATATATTTTGTAATCAGAAAAAAATGAGTAAGGTCATTTAAAAAAATCCATTCCAAATGATAGCTATTGTAAATTGTGCTGCTATGAACATAGGGGTGCATATATCCTTTCTGATTGGTATTTCTGTTTTCTTGGGATATATACCTAGAAGTGGTATTACTGATGGCAGTCCCATTTTTAGTTTAGTAAAAAAGAAGGAATTCTTAACGTTTGCAACAGCATGGATGGAACTGGAGAGTATTATGCTAAGCAAAATAAGCCAGTCAGAGAAAGATAAATATCACATGATCTCACTCATTTATGGAATATAATGAACATCATAAACTGATGAACAGAAATAGATACAAAGACAAAGAAGCATCGAACGGACTGTCAAACTGCAGTGGGAAGGCAGGGGAGGGCTGGGTGTGGGGTAAGAGATCAACCAAAGGACTTATATGCATGCATATAAGGATAGCCAATGGACACAGATACTGGGGGGAGGAGGGGTTGGGGGTAGGGAGTGAGGGCATGTGCTGGGGGGTAGAGAAGGCCGGGGGGAGGTCAATGGGGGAAAAAGGAGACTCATGTACTACTATTTGTAATATTTTAAATAATAAAAAATTTTAAAAAATCCATTCCATAAAAAGAGATAGTGCCATCCTCAAATGAGGCAGCTGGCTGCACAGGTGAGTGTGTGAAGGATGGCAGTGCCTGAGTAGAGGAGGGACAGCCTGGCGGCTGGTCTTCACCCTGCATGTGCAGAAACTTGGTTTGTTAGTTCACGCAGAGCAAATCAGGCAGAATTCCCAGGAGGAAGCCCCACGAGCTGGGGATGATATACCTTTTGCAGTGTGAGCAGCATCACATAATGAAGTAACTGAAATGTCCTACAAAACCAAGTTGACCTGAATGCTGTTCACCTTTTGCCTAGTTTATTTCATATGCACTTAATCTGTCTTCTTGGAGTATGATCTAGAGTAAAACATTTTTATTTTATTTTATTTTGCAATTAGAGTTTATATTCAATATTATTTTTAATCTTAGGTATACAGCATAGTGGTTACACAAGCATGCATTTGCAAAGTTATTCTCCACGATATTTCTAGTACCCACCTGGCATCAGACCTAGTTATGTAATTAAGAAAATTTTCAAGTGTCATAAGGACCTTTGAAATGCTAATTACTCAGACTTTGTGGTATTTGACATTTTGTACTTGGAATTTGAATATTTCATTGTCTCATTTGGACATGTAAAAAAGACTTTCTTCTGGTATAAAAATGATAGAATTAGGAAATGTTCTTAAAGGTTGAATTCAGTGCTGTCCAATAGAAATATAATGCATGCCATGTGTAATTTTAAACTAAAATTAAAAGGTTAATTAATTCAGTAATATTTTTATTTAATCCAGTATATCTAAAGAATTATCAGAGCAACATGTAGTCAGTATGAAAATGAAAATTATTGAGGTAGTTTACATTTTTTTTTTTATACTAAGTCTTCAACATTCGATATGAATTGCATACTTATGGCACATCTCAGTTCAGACAGCCACATTCCAGCTGCTCGTACCCCCATGTGGGTAACGACTTCCGTATTGGACAGCGCTAGTCCAGTTTACATGCCTGTCTTCAGTATGTGTATGTCAGCTTACATGCACAGCATGTGCCTTAAAATGATGGGATTTATATTTTTAAAGAACCAAAAAAAAGATACATTATAACTTTCCCTAAAGTGAAATCTGTTCCCCTGGCTTATTATATGTATCACTCAGAGCCATTTTCAGTTCAGCCCAGCGGGTGTTCCTTGTAAGGTACTGAGATTTCTCATGGAGGGGGGTAAGGCAGGGGATGAGGAAAGGAGTCGAATGTTCACTAAAGAACATTCATTCCATTACTAGAAACGTGCCCTCTAAAACCAGCATGTGTGCCTGCCTCAGGAAAGGGCTTCTGAAAGCGGGTTCAGAAATGAGTCTTCTCTCCGAGCCTCTAGAGAAGGTGGAAAGTCGTAATTTGTGTGGGAAGCCTCAGGCACAGCCGTGCTCCGGTCTCCCTGCTCTTCACTGCCTCCGACTGCTTTGAAGAATGTTGCTATTATTGACTGTGTTTTGTGCCTTTTCCAGATCCTGAAAGACACTTCCCTGCAAAAAGTGAAACGCAACCAGAGTTGTTTGGAGCCCTGCCTGCGCCAGCTTGTCTCCTGTCTGGAGTCTTTCGTGGTGAGATTCTTGTACCAACCTGTGCTTTGGTGTTTTGTATAATTTCTTCCTCCCTGGGCACCTGATTTTGTAATAATGTATCTTTATTTTGTAATTCAGCTTTGAGACAGATTGTGGTGTTTAGTCTGTTGACTTTTAAATTTCAGAATCAAGAAGACAGTGCCTCCAGCAACCCCTTTGCGCTCCCAAACTCCGTCACCCCACCCTTGCCCACGTTTGCCCGGGTGACCACCGCCTATGGGTCATACCAGGATGCCAATATTCCCTTTCCTAGGACCTCGGGAGCCAGGTTCTGTGGAGCAGGTTGGTCTTTTTTTGGTTCTCTGATTCTAGATTTTGGGAGAGCAATTTTTCTTTGTTTTTATTTTTTGAGAACTCAAAAAAACTTCTATCATAGTATAATATGGTCTGATGCCAGATTGGTCTGTGGACAAATCCTACGAATGTTCACCAGAATTTCAGTCTTGAGAGTGTGAATTTGGGTCTCACTCAGAGTCCTGATTCTTAACAGGGGACAGGTCCCTGACCAGGCAATATAAAATACCTGTGATGACTTTTTCCAAACTACACACATCCCGTCTCCTGGATCCTGACCTTTGTCCTTGTTAAGTATGGCTGCAGTCATGAGCCTTTGCACCTCATGGAAATGTGTCCTGACCTTCAGGTATATTGAAATAGACAAAAGATTGACCAATGCGGCCTTAGGATTTCCCATGTCCGGCTCATTGACCTTGATGTGCACATGTGATCTTTCCTTTGTCAGGGTATCTGGTGTATTTCACAAGGCCCATGACGATGCATCGAGCAGTGTCCCCAACAGAACCTACTCCGAGGTGAGTCTGGGAGATACAGCTGTAAGCTACATTCATGAAGTGGGCAGACATCTGGGAATGACCTTTGAGTTTGTCTTTAGACAATTTATTTTATCTTCAGTAAATATCTATTATAAGTTTATTTGAGAAAGATCAGATTCATTAAATTGCAACTAAGCTGAGATTTCTACTATGAAGTTACAACCAAACCACTACAAGGAGTAGTTTAATGAAAGCTGTTGTCTAAACAAGGCAAGTTTCTTTTATTATTATTATTATTTTTAATCCTCACCGGAGGATATTTTTTCCATTGATTTCTAGAGAGAGTAGAAGGGAGGGAGGAGGAGGGGAGAGAGAGAGAGAAACATTGATGTGAGAGAGACACTTCAATTGGTTGCCCCCATATGCGCCCCTACTAGGGCCGTGGAACCTGCAAACGAGGTACGTGCCCTTGACTGGGAATCGAACCCAAGATCTTTCGGTCCCAGGGCAGACGCTCTCACCATGGAGCCACACTGACCAGGGCAATAAGGAAGTTTTAAATTAAAATATGAAAGCTCTTCTTTTTTCCCCATGTCCTGGGGAAAGCCACTGTTAACAATTTAATGTGTTTTCTGTTTAGTCTTCATTATTTTTCTTCCTTTTTCCTTCTTGAGAGGCAGTCTAGCAAGTGGGAACATGGACTTCAGAGCCAAACTGCTGGATCCAAATCTTGGCCCTGTAGTCATATGGCCTTTGGACTGTGCTTGATTTTCCTCAACAATAACTTGGGGGTGATAATGGCACCTACCTCCTTTACTTACTGTGGAGATTGAAGGAGTTAGTCCCTATAAAGCATTTAGAACACTGCCTGGCACATAGGGAATGCTCTAACTGCGTTTCTTATTATTACTGCTTTAAAAGGAAAAATTTCATTTAACAGTTTTATTGAGATATAATTCACATAGTATACAGTTGACCCATTTAAAGTGTATAATTGAGTGGTTTTTAGTATATTCACAGATATGTGCAGTCATCACTACAGTCACATTCTAGGCCATTTTCATTATCTCAGAAAGAAACTTCATATCCCCTTAACTATCACCTCTCCTCCTCTATTCTTCCAGCCCTGGGCAAACTCTAATCTACTTTCTGTCTATCAGTGTACCTATTCTGGACATTTCATATAAATGAAATCATATAGTATGTGGTCCTTTGTGCCTGGCTTCTTTCATTTGGTGTAATGTTTTATGGATATATATATATATATGTATATATCCACATTTTACTTATTCATTCAGTCAATGGGCATTTGGGTTATTTCTACTTTTTGGCTATTATGAATAATGCTGCTGTGAACATTGGTATACAAGCTTTTTTATGGGCATATGTTTTCATTTTTCTTGGGTATTACCTAGGAATGGAATTGCTGGATCATATTGTAAAGTTTTTTTCTTAATTAATAAACTTTATCATTTAGAGAAATTTTAGATTCATACCAAAATTGAACGGAAGGTATCGAGTTTCGGTATACTCCCCCGTGCCCGCTCACACAGCATCTCCCATACTACTGGTTTTTAAAACTTAAATATGTTATATACTGTAGACTTCTGTGGTGACCATAACTTCTAAATCCTGCTACAAACACCTGGATACATTGGTGTAACATATTAGCATACTTATGAATGAATAGCTGAGCTAACAAGAAAGGAAGGAGATTGAACCAGGTGTGTGGGCAGGTGCCGCTGCTGTCCAGGGAGTTTGCCAGTCTCCTCAGTAACCCAGGCAGATGAGACATTGGTCCCACAAAAACTAGGAGTTAAGAGCTAGAGATCTGTATATTATACTGGGTTCCTTATTTGAAAGGTTCGACTAGAAAACAATCACCTCCTCTCTAAGAAAAGCAAGAATATCTGGACCTGAACTTTGGATCAGAGGGGAAAATGTTCCTAATTAGAATGTTTTTCATACTAACAGTATTTTATTGACCAGCACCCAATCAAGAACCAGCGCATTGCCCTCACCCGAGAAGTTCCCTGGTCCCTGTGCCCAGCGGAAACCACTCCTCTGACTGCCATCATTGTAGTTGAGTTTTGCCTGTGCTTGAATTTCACCTAAATAGACTCATGCAGCATGTACTATTTTATGTCTGGCTTATTTCGCTGAACTTAATGTTTTTTAAATTGATCCTCATTGTTGCATGTATCCATAGGTTCATTGTATGAAAATAAAAGTTTGTTTATTCCTACTCCTGTTGATGAACATTTGGATTATTTCCAGTTTTGGGCTATTTTGTGTAGACCTACAAATACAAGTCTTTTTATGGATGTGCGTATTAATTTCTCTACCCAAGGAGTCAAATCCCTGGATCATAGGATAGGTGTATGTTTAATTTTATTAGAATTTCCAAAAAGTCTGTTCCCAGAGGTTGTACCATTTTATACTCTTTGCCAGCAATGTTTCAGAGTTCTGGTTGCTCCACATCCTCTCCAAAACTTGGTCTTTTCAGTTGTTTTTACTTCAGCCATTGTGGTAGGTGTGTAATATAGTGGTTTTAATTTGCACAACTCTGGCGATGACTGATGATGTTGAGCCACTTTTGTGTGCTAATTGACCATTTGGGAATCTTTTATGATGTGCTTTTATTTTGCCCAGTTTTTGGACTGTTTCTATTATTTATCTGTGGTAGTTTTCATTTTGGTTGCAAATCCTTTGCTAGATATATTGATTTTCTTCTAATCTGTGGCTTGTTTTCTCCCTCTTAGTGATTATTGATAAACAGCATTTTTTAATTTTGATGAAGTCTGCGCCATCACTTTTTAAATTTTATAGTTAGTGCTTTTGTGTCCTGCCTGAAAAAATCTATGCCTATCCCAAGGTCATGAAACTATTCTTCTGTGTTTTCTTTCAAAAGTTTAAAATTCCTTATTAAAAGTCTGTAATCAATTTCAAATTAATTTTGTGTATGATATGAGATAGGAGTCAAAGTTTTTTTGTTTTTTTCTAGTAGAAATATATCATTGTCCCAGCACCATTTATGGAAAAAATTTTTCTTTTCTTATTCTGAATTGATACCTTTGTTGAAAATTAGTTGGTCATGTGTTTGTGGATTTATTTCTGGACTCCTTTTTCTCTTAATCTATTGGTCTCTCCTTATACCAACACTACACTCTTTTTTTTAAAAAATATATTTTATTGATTTTTCACAGAGAGGAAGGGAGAGAGATAGAGAGTTAGAAACATCGATGAGAGAGAGAAACATCGATCAGCTGCCTCCTGCACACCTCCCACCGGGGATGTGCCCGCAACCAACGTACATGCCCTTGGCCGGAATCAAACCTGGGACCTTTCAGTCCGCAGGCTGACGCTCTATCCACTGAGCCAAACCGGTTAGGGCCAACACTACACTCTTGATGTAGCTTTCCATAGTAAGTTTTCCAGTCTGGTAGTGTAAATCCTCCAAGTGTATTATTTTTATTCAGGATTATTTTGGCTATTCTAGGTCTTTTACATTTCTATAAAAGATGCAGTCAGCTTATTGGTTTCTATGATAAAGCTCAAATCTTGATTGGAATTGTGTTGACTTTGTCGATTAATTTGGAGGAAATTGTTATCTTAATAATATGTAATCTTCCAATCCACTACCGTGGTATAATTCTCTGTTGTTTTGGGTCTTTAATTTCTCTTAGCAATATTTTGTATTTCTTTTTTTTTTTTTAAACCATTTATCCCCCCTGTATCCTTCTCCACCTCCCCCAATCCTCCTACCCCCCGAAATCATCACACTGTTGTCCATGTCCAGGAGTTGTTTCTCTTTTTTTTCCTTTTGCTCAAACCCTCCAACCCCTCCCCCCCCAGCTCCCCTGAGAGCTGTCAGCCTGCTCTCTATGAGTCTGTCTCTGTAATACTTTGTGTTTTCAATGCACATTTTTCCCCACTAAATTTGTTCCTGGGTATTTGATGGGTTTTGATCCTATTGTAAATGAAATTTTAAAAATGTTTATTTTCTAAATATTTGTGTCTAATATATAGAAAAAGAGTAGATTTCTTTTTTGTTTTGTTTTGTTAATCCTTACCCAAGGATATTTTTCAGGAAAGACAGAAAGGATATTTTTCAGGGGAGACAGAAAGATGGATGTGGGAGATATACATCAATTGGTTGCTTCCTGCATGTGCCCCAATGGGCTAGGGCTTGAACCTGCAACCTAGGTACATGTCCTTGACCGGGAATCAAACCCAAGACCCTTTGGTGTGAGGGCAAACATTCTAACCACTGAACAACACCAGCCAGGCATAGTAGATTTTTATAGATTGACCTTGTATCTAAACTCAGTTATTAGTTTTAGTAGTTTGTAGAGTCCTTTCTTTGAATTTCCTATGTATGTAATCAGAAACATTCTCTGCTTCTGCAGATAAGGTATTTTTCAGTTCTGAAAGTTCTGTTTAATTCATTTTTGTAGACTTACCATTTCCCCCCCATTTTATCCATCTTTTCCTCTTGGTTTCATCAAGTGCTAAGACGGCACTGCTTAAAAAGATGGAAAGATTGAAGCCAGTATGGATAACGCTGCATTTTCAACCACAGGTCTCTCTCGGCCTTGTCTGCTTATCATACTGGTTTGATTGCGCCAATGAAGATCCGCACAGAGGCCCCTGGGAACCTTCGTTTATACAGTGGGTGTATTTATCAAGTGGTTGTTCGAGGCAGCAAACTCCAGCGTTAACCTATGCCGCCATCTTGGTTTCTCCCATAGTAGATTTTTATAGATTGACCTTGTATCTAAACTCAGTTATTAGTTTTAGTAGTTTGTAGAGTCCTTTCTTTGAATTTCCTATGTATGTAATCAGAAACATTCTCTGCTTCTGCAGATAAGGTATTTTTCAGTTCTGAAAGTTCTGTTTAATTCATTTTTGTAGACTTACCATTTCCCCCCCATTTTATCCATCTTTTCCTCTTGGTTTCATCAAGTGCTAAGACGGCACTGCTTAAAAAGATGGAAAGATTGAAGCCAGTATGGATAACGCTGCATTTTCAACCACAGGTCTCTCTCGGCCTTGTCTGCTTATCATACTGGTTTGATTGCGCCAATGAAGATCCGCACAGAGGCCCCTGGGAACCTTCGTTTATACAGTGGGAGCCCCACTCGCAGTGACAAAGAGCAGGTCTCCGTCAGCTCCTTCTACTACAAGGAGCGGGTAAGCAGCAGAGCCTCGGCCTTTGATTCCTATCCCTTCCCTTCCTGGATTCTTGTTGTCTCCCTGCTTGCCACGCACAGCAGCTAAATTAGCAATCCTCTGTAGACTTTCACTGTCATAATTAGTTTGTTACAGAAAGACCATTGTTTTGTGCCTTTCCATTGGCTTTACCTACTAAAATTGAATCTGGGAGGATCTCCCCACTTAATCCTATTCTTGTAGTCCCCATTCATTAAGTTGATCATTCTTTCAGATAGAATAATTGAGCTTCAGATCTTCCTTCTGATGTTCATCAACAAATTAAGGGGTATTTCTGAGGGCTTGGGGTCTTGTTGTATTTGCAACTTCATATCTGTGAGAATTTTTAAAGTTAATTTCTAAGAGGTTTTATAGTTTTTATAAGTCTACACTGAAGTACCCATTTGAGTGGACCAGTTTATATAAAAATCACTTGCACCTGGCCTTATGTTCCTGGGTTCTTAAGGAACTCATCAACCCTAAGGTAGCTATTAAGCTGTCAGAAGCCTTTAGTGACGACAGTGTAGAGAGTGTGGGCAGAGCGTAGGAAGGACTCTGAGAACTCTTTCTTGTCAGATTGAGAGTCTGGTTTAAGCCAGCTTTTACTTGACATGATGTTTTAAACAGAGTTACCACTGAGCTACTCACAGACTCAGTCCTGTGGGATTCTTTGCTGTTGTCCTCCACTAATGAGGAAATGATGGATCAACCATAATTTAACATTTTTAAATTGGATTATTTTAAATAAACCAATTTCTAACAAGTGTTAGAGGTGTCATCACTCTGATTGCAGCTGTACTATCTAACATTCCTGGTTCTCACTGATAGTTGGCCGTCTCTGACTTTGTCATCTGAAATGAGTGGCAGGAACTGATGCTTGTGACAAGACCAGACTCGGGCAAAGCCATTCAGTTGAATAGAGACCATGATTGTTTTTGTTGCCTTTCTGGCCAACTTTCTTTGCATCTCTGCTGGAATGAATCCCCCTGGCTGTCACAGACCTTCTTGGGACACCATATCTTCCCAAATCTTTTACATTGAGAAAAATTATTTTAAATGCAAGCTAGCTGGTAGTTGCCTAGATGATTTGATAAACTGGTTGGAACTAAGGCATTTTTTAATTGACATCATGGTTGGATAAATATGGGAATTTTCTTTAGCATTAGAGCCAGGTTGAAGAGATCTGTTAGTTGAATCATGTCATGTGCTGCTCATGCTTGGGTTCAGATTGGGCAAAACACACAGACTAGCACTTCTGACTCTGTGACGATGTGTAAAGGCCATGTCAAGTCCAAGTAACCCCAGTTCCAAGTTGGGATCTCTCCTGATGTGGAAGCATTTGTAATGCCCACACTCATGTGTTGGATGGTCCGGCCTCTTTTACTACAAGCACCACAGTCACAGAGGGACCAAAGGAAGGATCGTGATATTGCAGTTTGGGGTCGTTCCCACTGTGCTTCTTCTCTACAGAAATGGGCTCTGATCATCCCCGAGGATGACATAGTAAGTGGTCTTTCAGTTTTATTTCAGATAGCAAGTAAAATGGGAGAGACCCTTTTATTATAATTTTATATGAAACTTTTATATTGCTATATAACCTATGTACAGAAAAGTTCACAAATCATAAGCATCTAATTCAGTGAATTAACAGTCATACCGGCCAGGAAATAGAAAATGACAAGAACCCCAGAATCCCTGGGGAAGGAAGGCACATTTCAATGGATGACATAAAGTAGTTATTAGGTTAAAACATATGAAATGGGTGCTATTTGACCATTTTTGACCTTAAAGAAAAATTTCAGTTGGTTCAACATAATATGTTAAAATAGGCAAGTCAGTTATTTTGTGATGAATCTGAAATAAATTCATCACTCCTTAAAGCTTGTTCATGTCCATCCCATTTACATGGGCAAAGGGGGAGGATTAAAGAAATGAGATACAGCCATGATATTGTCCATAGGCCTTCTTATCTTCCTTATGGACAGCAATACGGTTCTGTGCCTTAAGGAGTATTTTCTAATTCTCAGGTGTCTAGTTTCTTGGGTTAAATAATAGCACTTTCATTACTTTGGTTCTGGAAATGATTCCAGTTTACTAAATTTTCGTGTTTTTATTTTCATCCCAGATCTTTCGTCTACATATTTCTATTCTCTTTTAGATCTCTATCCCTGAGATTTTTTAAAGACATTTAAAAATATTTTTATTAATTTTAAAGAGGAAGGGAGAGGGAGAGAGAGATAGAAACATCATTGATGAGAGGGAATCATTGATGGACTGCCTCCTGCCCTCCCTCTACTGGGGACCAAGCCTGCAACCCAGGCATGTGCCCTGACTGGCAATGGAACTGTGACCTGGTTTATAGGTTGACCCTCAGCCACTGAGCCTCACCGGTCGGGCTGTTTTTTGTGATTTTAACCTGCCCGACTTAGGTTATGTTATAGTCAGCCAAATGTTCTCCAGATGGAATTTCAAGATTGCTCCTAAAAATTAAAAAAAGTGAGACATTTAAAAAAAAAGTATATATTTTTTATTGATTTCAGAAAGGAAGCGAGAGGGAGGTAGAAATACCAATGATGAGAGAACCATTGATTGGCTGCTTCCGGCATGCCCCACACCAGGGATTGAGCCCGAAACCTGGGCATGTGCCCCGACTGGGAATTAAACCATGACCTCCTGGTTCATAGGTCGACACTCAACCACTGAGTCATGCTGGCCAGGCTGTGAGACACTATAGGAAGTTAGAAAACACAGAGTGATGCTAACATTCATTTGGTAACTGGACCAACTATTAATAGTTGATGAAATATTACTTATTCTATGGAAGGCCCAGAACTTCTGAGAAACATTAGGTTTTACCCTATAAACATTAAAAATTTTTTGCAACCTCCACATTTGCTTCAGTTTATGTTATGAAAATAGCTCTAAAGTAAATAACTGGGGAGGTCTTGAAGTTGCAAAATAATTTCTGATCTCCATAAACAGTGTGTATGCTCCCAGTTTCACACTGATGCTCATGTTGTTAGGGAGAATGCCCTTAAGAGTGTAAGTCCTCAGCCTTAGCTCTCCCTGCATTTCTCTGGGGCTCTCGCTTCCCATGGCATCACTCTAAAAATAGTCCCGCGGTCCCAAGGTCAAGGTTTCCAATTTCTCCAATGCTCTTTAGCTACACACCCAAAAAATGTGGTATTGAGTGTATGGAAGAACTTCTTCCTTGTTAGGAATGAGAATATTCTCGCACATACACATGCCCCTGAAAGGGCAAGCAGAGTCCTCCACTGTTTCTGCAGTTGCCCTGTGATCCTAATCCTCATTAGTTCCTTTGGTCAGAGCGGAATGGACATCAGCCCCTTATATGTTGAAATGTGTTTTGGGCTGAAAAACAATGACATTGAAGCTGGGTTTGGAGTGTGATGGGTTGGGCGGGAGGAGAGGGAATCCACCTACTGCTGTGTTTCAATTCAGATTTTGTAGCATTTCAGTTTTATTTTGTAGTATATTATGGTATCATTTAATCCATCAGAGATGTGGGAAGCTTTCATTTTATTCTATATTTTTCCCTTTTAATTTTCTTGGTGTTTTTCTTCCCTCCTCCTGGGTGTAACGTTTTCACGCACAGATGTCTCCTCGCTCTGCCCGGCGACGTTGGTCCATACAAGCAATTAACGACTTCCCGGTACTGTGCGCTGTGCAAATGCTCTCCTTGACTAATCCTGTCTCTGCCCAAAGGCCCAAGAATAAAATGCCACCTGCCTGGCTTTGAGGAACCTGAAATGACAGGCTGGCTGGGTTTCAGGACCAGCAACAATAAGTTTTCATTCTTGGGAGTCAGGTGCCAAGGACTGCCTCCTGGGTCCCTGACAGTTTCAAATGGGTGAATACTGATACCGTTAAGGATTGTGAATGGACTTCTTTGAAAAGGAAGCTCAATACTGGGATTCTTGGGAAGAACCCCGATTGTAAGCCATCAGCTACCTGATTTCATTTGGAATATTTGTATAATTTCACTGAGCTTTCAGAAGCCTACCTTTGGCATTGGGAAGCAGAGGAAGATATAAGGGGCTTCCACCATTGTGTCTGTTTTTATCGTCTTGGTGTAATTCAAAGAGGAAAGTGCCCATCTCATCCACTGACACGACACATAAGCTAGTTTTTATCTTTTGGAAATTTTCTGGAACAAATTTTTCCCATACCATCAGTTTTTGCATTGACAGTCAAACCTGGGCATCATCTCTTCCTTTCTTCCTTTCTTCCTCACTCCTATTGGCCATCTCCCCTCTTCTGTCTTCCTCTCCCGCCCCCTTAACCAGTCAGTAGTGCCATGGTGACCTCAGGCTGTGCAAGGCAGCCTTAAGACATTAGCTTAAATTTCATTTGGTGTAAAAAATACTTAGGGGGGTAGTTCTATAGCCTTTTCACATAAAAACCAGTTGAAATCAGGAGCCCTGATTAGCAGTACTGCAGCTGCCGACAACTTGCAGGTGGAGCTGCCAGCATGGCCACCTTTCCTCCAAAGGCCTGTCCCAGCCAGCCGACTGCTGACTTCCACTGGCTTTCCCAGCAGGCTCCCCTGCTGCTGTTTAACCGGGAACTCATCAGGACTCCCTCCCACTCTGCTGATTATGCACTGTTGATGGGGTTGCTGCGAAGCAGTTGGTGGCTTATTCTTGGGCTGTTTTTACATTTTATCCATTTATTGACATCCATGTTGCCTCCGGTTGTAGCAGTAACACTGGTGGTACAGTCGCAAGCTGGCTGTTGGTTGTCATTCAGTGCTATTTGCACCAATGCCTCCCTCCCGCTTCCTCCCACCCGACTCCTTCCCTATCTGTCCTCTTTCCCATGATTCCATGAACACCTTCTTGGTATGTTCAGAGGAGCACCCTGGTGCTCATTATGTGGTAATTTGTCTGTCTTGCTTTGCCTCTCCCCTCAATCCCTGCTCATAATCTGTGGGAAGGGGCATTTTCTCTTGATGGGGCATTGAGAAGACATAAGAGAAATGCAGAGTCCTTTGCCTCCCAGAAGTACTGATTTTACCGCAATGAAAAGTATCCATGTTTTAGCCGTCAGAGTGGGACTGGAGCAATGCAGGAGGCTTAGAGGGCATTTGGGCCACAGTGTCCTCCCCTCACCTGGAAAGATCAACCACACTCAGACTGGTGTGTCATGGTTCTCTGCCTGTCATCACCTGACAGTTGCATAGATAAGAGAGACTCCCAAAATTGCCACTAGATATTAAGGGGAAAGGAAGTCTTGGGAGAGTGTGGATGGAATATGAACCCTTTTAATTGTCAAAGCTCTAAAAGAAACACCCTGAAAAACAGTCCCTGCTTGTTAGGGAGCAGCAAGGATTTGAGATTTGGCATGTCTTCATTTAGCAGCCTCATTTTATCTGAATCCCCAAGGAATTGGCCACTAGACAGGATTACTGAGTGACCCCTGTAGCAGGAAGGGGAGGTATTTCATATGTTAAAACCACCAACCAACAAATTTAAAAAGAAACTGTTGCCCTAGCTGGTTTGGCTCAGTGGATAGAATGTTGGCCTGTGGACTGAAGGGTCCTGGGTTTGATTCCGGTCAAGGGCACGTACCTTGGTTGCAGGCTCGATCCCCGGCCCTGGTCCAAGTGCTGGCAGAAGGCAAACAATCCATGTGAAAGAGACATCTTGCATCGATGTTTCTCTCTCTCTGTCTCTCCCCCTCTCTCTAAAAATCAATGGAAAAATATCCCTGGGTGAGGATTAACAAAAAAAGAAAAAGAAAAAAAAAGAAACTGTTTTGTGACTGGTTAAAGATCTTTGATAATGTTTTGTAGTATTCCTTTCTGGATTAAATGAATGAATACTGCTGTCCCATAATTGCTTTCATAGTGTGATTATTGGTGACAGCTATAATTAGGTGGCCCTGTGTTGGGGAAGCTTCTCCTATTATAGGCTCAAAGGCAGCTTATTGAGGTTTCATAAAACATCACCTACACATCAACCAGATCAAACAGAGAAGCACCTAGAAGCCTGGTGTCTCAAGAAGTTGACAGGGAAGTTCCAGAAATACAGAGTGTGATTTCTGTAATTCAGTGAAGGATAATTGTAGGTAGTTGTTTAAGACGACTGTCTACATTTTCATCAAGTACCTATTGATGACTCATATTAGTTTGTTTCTACAGATCTCTGTGACCCAAGACTGCAAGTGGAGGAAGAGTCCTAAGATAGCTCATTGGACTCTGAGTCCTCTCTATGAATATACCTAATCCTAATAAGTCCAGACAGTGATTAAACGGCGTGAGGTGCAGGCCCTTGAACCTGGCCTGAAATACAGCACCTGGGTCTGAGCCTGGCATGCCCACTGCCGAGCTGCGTAGCCCCAGAAGCTGCTTGCTCTGCGGATCTGCAGCTCGCTGCTCTGCCTTAGCGAACAGTTGCAGTGCTTGGCGGAGAAGTGGCTTTAGAAGTGAGGAATTGTAGAGGATGGTGTGTTGGCTAGGCCTCATTAGAATCAGATGCTGATCTCCTTACATGTAGATATGGATCCATTTAAAAATGGACCAAACTATTTACATATTAACAAGTAGTCAGGACTTAATTTTTTTTTCCTTTTTAATCTAAAGTCATGCTCTCTAAAACAGAGTAACAAATATGGGCTTAGCAGCCTGACTGGCCTGTGTTCAAAGCTCAGCTCTTATGAGTGTGGCCTTGAGTGGTGGAGGCAACAGCCCCTTTGTGAGAGAGCTGTGGTGAGGCTCTCGCTCGCATAGTGGGAGCAGTTGTAGCAGGAGCTAAAGTTAGTCATGACAGGCTAGCCTTTAAATCCCAGGTTAGATGTTTTTTCCACAGACGGGCTCCTGTGTAGCCATTTGTAGGCAAGGCTCTGAGGAAGTAAGATAATTGTTCATGATCTTCCCTTTCTAATACCCATGTCCCTCTGCAAGTTTCTTTGACATTCTAAAATGATCTCTTTTAGAAATATTCAAGTCTGTTAGGAAAAACATTTTAAAATGAGCTAGTCTATCTGCCAATGAACCACTTTGGGCACATGGGTCTTCATATTATCTTTTCATTGGGTTTGCTTAGAAAGGCAGGGAATTGTGGTTTTCACTGTGGTCTGAAAGCTGTAGGCCCATCCCTCGTGAGCTTCCATTTGTTTCTCCGATTCAGTTAAACAGAGCTGGTTCATTGCTCAGTGTTTTAAGTGCTTCTCATTTCTCTTTACAATAAGGAATCAAAGTGATGCCTGGAACAGTGTTTTAGAAGCCTTCTAACCAACCCGAGGACCAAATTAGATGGATCATACTCCCTACCTTGTTGAATCTTTTTAGTGTAGATATTTTCCTCCCTCCTCCCTCCCTCCCTTCCTTCCTTCCTTTCAATCCAGTACCTTAAATCTCATGTGAGGCCTGTGGGGCCTGTGGGTTTGTCGTTTCCTGGGATTTTTAAACTCCTGGAAACCTGGATGAAAATCACAGTGAAATGAGTAGGTATACTTATACCCTCCTTTTTCTGGTTAACCACATTGTGCTGTTCCTGTCTCTGCCAAATCACCCTCCCTATGAAAACCAGTCCTATCATAGTACGAGGCAGGCATGACGACACCGTCTTGTGTTGGTTAACACTGCCTGGCTCCAGTCCATCCTGACAGGTTGTTTGCTCTTTAGCACATTCTCCCCTTGCACCCACGTCAGGATATTTGTGGCTAAAAATGGTAGCACTTTTTGTGAACACTCACACAGTTCTAATTTTGAAAATAACGAGGGCTAGCAGAGAATTGAAGGGCTACCCCACAATGATAGATAAAGCTTCCTCGTGTGTTGCGGAGTATTGTCTTGTGTATGGGTAAATAGTAAATAGTAACTGAACTGCTTCTTAAGGGCAAATGGGCTAAGGTCCAAATTGATAATGTAGCATCTGTATTTACCAATTATGATAAGCAATCCAAATATTTCAGCTAATCTTTTTCATTTACCGTCCATGAACTAAGTCCAGGTGTCCTGGATTTAGTAGGTTCCATAACACTTACTAATCCCATAGGAAGTTACATGCATTGGGCAACTTTGGGGATTAGATGGGCCATCAGGGTTCAGAGACCTCTGAATGTAGACTGTGACTAATTTATGGAAGGGTGATTGTATAAAAATCACTTGTGGAAAATGAATTTGTGAGTAATCTAAAAGTGATCTAATTACATTTCTGAAGGTTTATGCACATTCATAAAAATTACAGATTTTAAAATAGTACTCTTTGAATTTACAGAGTGTTTACTCACTTTTCATTGTACCCATATTAACCTTGGGAGATTGGAACAACAGAGCTCGTCCTGAGCCATCAGTGAATGAAAAGAGACTGGCATGAGGCTAAATTCACAGCAAATAAGTAATTCGCCCAGGGTCACCTTGAACCAGTACTTGTGGCAAAAAGACCAATAAACCTTGGTTTTCTGATTCCAAATTGCAGGCTCTTTCAGAAAGGCACCTTTTGTACCCTTTGTTAATAAATATGTCTCCCTCCTTCCTCCTTAGTTGAGTCACTTTGGTGGCCCCTTTTTAATTTCTGGCAATAACATAAAATAGAATATCACTCCCGTGGCGGGCTGTCATTTTGAAGATACCAGATGGTGCTACTCTCTAATAATTCCCATTTTCTCGGATAGCTCTCATTTCCCACATACAGGCTCCTACATAGCCATTTGTAGTGGGGCTCTGGGGAAATAAGATAGTTGCTCATGATCTTCCCTGTCCATTACTCACGTCCCTCTGCTCAAGTATTTTTGACATTCTAAAAATGATCACTTTTAGAAATAGTTCAAGTCTGCCACGAAAAACAAGGTAATTCTCCTTGAGCTGCTAAGTTTTTCTGTCTGCCTGCCCGCCATAGATTAAAGTTTGCAGAGCTCACACTGCTATTCCTGGATTAAATTCTCAACAGATCCTATTAAAACTCTCTTAGAAGGGAAAAAAAAACTTTGAACCCAGGGCTGAACCCAGCCTTAAAAGTTGCTCTTTTCCCACATTTTTGTGGTCTTTACTAACTTATTTACCTGCCGTTCTTTTTCTTCCTTATTTTCAAAATTCTGTCTGTTTTTGAGCACAGCTCTCCAGTAGGTGCTTGTTCTGCGGTTAGGATTTTGGACCAAGAGCTCAATGCCCTTTGTTATCCTTCCATTTCCTATAGATGCTGATTCATATAATTGTGGGCATGATGTTGTAATGCAAAGTCTCTGCAAATTACCAATGACCCAACTATGATGTGCTCTGCAACTGTAGGCTTCCACGCAGCAAAGTCCCCATTAGTGACATCTTGTCATCTCCCCCAGAAATCAAGGAGATGGAAAAGCAAGCGCGAGGGATCGGACTCTGGCAACCGACCAATCAAGGCTGCTGGGAAAGTTGTCATCCAGGATATTGCGTGCCTCCTTCCTGTTCACAAGTCACTGGGAGAGCTGTACATGTAAGTTCAAGGTTTTAAGTGTGCCATGCCTATCATTTAGTCATGATTACCAAAGGTTCCCCCCCCCCCTTTTTTTTTTAAGTTTTGGAACCCTTTCTTCAAAAGCAGTTTTAGGAGTCGCCCAGTATATTAGCTTTCTATTATTGCATAACAAATTACCACCAACTTAGTGGCTTAAAACAACATACACTTATTACCTCACAGTTTCCCTGCGTCAGGAGCCTAGGCGTGGTATAGCTGGGTCCTTGCCCAGGTCTCACCAGGCTGAAATCATGGAGTGGACCAGGCGGTGTGCCTATCTAACGCTCAGGGTCCTCTTCCTGCTCATGCAGGTGTCACAGAATTCGGTTTCTTGCAGCCATTAAGTGAGGCGAATGTTCGAGACCAGCAGGAGTGTCTCACTGTCACTTCACCTTCTTTCTGAGGTGTCACCTGAGTAGGTCAGGCTCACTCAGGATAATCTCCCTTTTGACAAATTCAGAGTCAATTGATTAACCATAACCTATTCATGGGAGTGACATCCCATCAGTATTCACTGGTCTCACCCCATTTTAAGGGAGGAACTTATAACAGGTACTTATACCAGGGGCAGAAATCTTGAGAGCAGTCTCAGAATTCTGCCTCCCAAGCCCAATCAGGAAAACAGATGAAGCGGAGCCACTTTGGCTGAAGGGAAGTGGGAGGTGAGTGACAAGCATACACAGGCCAGCCTCTGCTTCCCCTTCTTCCTGAGCCTGGACTCATGACAAAAATATTCATTTTGTAGTATATGCACAGCATACCACTCTCTGTGTTAGAAACTACAGTGTTGTATCTATTTCAATCCATTTTCATTCAACTCTCAAGTCTGGGGAACTTCACAGCTAAGCAGGTTAGCAATCGGTGTTTTGTTTTTTGTTTTTTTCACTGACTTGAGAAAGAGAGGGAGAGATTTGTTGTCCCACTTATCTACGCATTCATTGATTGGTTACTGTATGTGCCCTGACCAGGGATTGACCCGCAACCTTGGCGTATGGGACCATGCTCTAACCCACAGAGCCACCTGGCTGGGCCAGCAGATTGGTTTTTGAGTCTGGCCTCCTCTTCTGGCTTCAAAGAGGTGAGCGATTTCACCTTCCCCAGGCCTGAACCCACAGCATAACATCAGCTGCTAGTTAAGCATTTTCTTCTTACATACAAGGGATCTCTAGGCCAATACAAAGAAAACATTTCTAGTGACAACCAAAGAGGCAGTTTTCAGTCTGTTTATTAAACAAGGAGTAATTGATTTAGGAAGTTAGATCAGAAAGAAACTCTCATTCTTTTTACATTTCAGATTAAATGTAAATGATATTCAAGAAACGTGTCAGAAGAACGCCACTTCTGCCTTGCTTGTTGGAAGGAAGGATCTTGTCCAGGTATGTCCATCCCTTTTGCTGGCATCTGGATTTTTTTTTTCCCCCCGAGCAGGGTGTCTTCACTTTATAGTTGTGGTTTAGTGACATTTCAAGGTGTGACTCCTATTTTTCATTTTCTTTGCCAAACTACAGGACAAAGTAGCTTTCTAAATCCCTTGGATGCTTTTCTTAATAGAGCTTAGTTGAGAGGATCCTAAAGCTTTTACTATTTTTTATTGCATCTCTTTTCTATTTTAGTACCATGGTGATGGTTGCACACCACATTTAGGTTTCTGTATCTTTACCATTTGTATTCTCAATTCTGTTTCCTTTTTACTTTAAAAAATGCTTCATTTCATAAAGTGTTTACAAAAACATTCCTTTAGAATAGACACGTTTAAAAATACGATGTGGTCTTACAAAAATTTAAAATCTTCATTTTTACAGGAACACATCCGTATATTAAAGCAAGCTGCTCCTTGATTGTTTTTAACAGCTTTATAGAGAATATAGTCCATATACCATGCGATTCACCCATTTAAAATGTACTATCTAATGGCCTTTAGTATAGTCACAGGGTTTTGCAAGCATCACCACAGATACTTTCAGAACATTTTCATTACCCTAGCTCACAATCCTCCTTCCGCACCCAGCCCTAGGCAACCACTAATCCCCTCTCTCTATTGCACCTTTATTCTTTAGTGTGAGGATTAGATTGAGCAATGGAAACTACTAGCAGTTGTCCTGTCCACTTAGTTTTCCCCCTTATAACCCTCCAAATGACCCGAGCTAAGGCTTCCCTTTATTTCAATTTGTAGAAACCCCCTAGGATTTCCATTTGTCTCCTAATAAATACTGTAAAGTTTTTGCCCAAACCCTGTTAGGTCAGTATGATCTATTTCTCTAAGAACCTAGCCACCTAAAGTCCCGTGAATACTAAGAAGCCAAATAAAGCAGTAGAAATATTGTGGAATGTATAACAGGATGCACAGGTGTGACTCAGCACCCTAGTGGTGTGATCCCAGACTCTCTCAGCCTCTGTATCTAGGTGGGGTAAAAGTAATTTTACAGTTGTGAGTATGTGAAACACAGTTTATTCTTGTATTATTTATTAATTATTGTATAATTTTCCATACGAACAACTGTAAACCACTTTTGTCCCACCCTGTATGTGTGAAATGGGAACCATAAGAATAATTACCTCATAGGGTTGGTGGGAAGATTGGTAAATGCAATGCTAAGGCAGACCCAATGTTCATGTTCTGAAAAAAATTCTCTGAGGCAAAATTACTTTCTAAAGTGTGTTTTTAAAAAATATTTTTATTGATTTCAGAGAGGCAGAGAGAGGGAGAGAGACAGAAACACCCCCCACTAGGGATTGAGCCCACAACCTGGGTATGTGCCCTGGCCGGGACCAAACCATGACTTCTTGGTCATAGGTTGACACTCAACCACTGAGCCACACCGGCCGACAATTCTGTGTCTCAATAAGCTTTCAGCTTTGCAGCTCTCAGAGGAGCAAGGGCTTGATGTATGGGGAGGAG